ACAATAACACTCATTTAATACTCCTTGTATCTAGTTGCCGGTTAGTGGAAGTATTTCTAAACTGAACTACACGTGAATGTACAGACTGAACAATAACACTCATTTAATACTCCTTGTATCTGGTTGCCGGTTAGTGTAAGTATTCATAAACTGAACTACACGTGAATGTACAGACTGAACAATAATACTCATTTAATACTCCTTGTATCTGGTTGCCGGTTAGTGGAAGTATTTCTAAACTGAACTACACGTGAATGTACAGACTGAACAATAATACTCATTTAATACTCCTTGTATCTGGTTGCCGGTTAGTAGAAGTATTTCTATACTGAACTACACGTGAATGTACAGACTGAACAATAACACTCATTTAATACTCCTCGTATCTGGTTGCCGATTAGTGGAAGTATTTCTAAACTGAACTACACGTAAATAAACAGACTGAACAATAACACTCATTTAATACTCCTTGTATCTGGTTGCCGATTAGTGGAAGTATTTCTAAACTGAACTACACGTAAATAAACAGACTGAACAATAACACTCATTTAATACTCCTTGTATCTGTTTGCCGGTTAGTAGAAGTATTTCTAAACTGAACTACACGTGAATGTACAGACTGAACAATAACACTCATTTAATACTCCTTGTATCTAGTTGCCGGTTAGTGGAATTATTTCTAAACTGAACTACACGTGAATGTACAGACTGAACAATAGCACTCATTTAATACTCCTTGTATCTGGTTGCCGGTTAGTGGAAGTATTTCTAAACTGAACTACACGTGAATGTACAGACTGAACAATAACAGTCATTTAATACTCCTCGTATCTGGTTGCCGGTTAGTGGAAGTATTTCTAAACTGAACTACACGTGAATGTACAGACTGAACAATAACACTCATTTAATACTCCTCGTATCTGGTTGCCGGTTAGTGGAAGTATTCATAAACTGAACTACACGTGAATGTACAGACTGAACAATAATACTCATTTCATACTTCTTGTATCTGGTTGCCGGTTAGTGGAAGTATTTCTAAACTGAACTACACGTGAATGTACAGACTGAACAATAACACTCATTTATTACTCCTTGTATCTAGTTGCCGGTTAGTAGAAGTATTTCTAAACTGAACTACACGTGAATGTACAGACTGAACAATAGCACTCATTTAATACTCCTTGTATCTAGTTGCCGGTGAGTGGAATTATTTCTAAACTGAACTACACGTGAATGTACAGACTGAACAATAACACTCATTTAATACTCCTTGTATCTGGTTGCCGGTCAATGGAAGTATTTCTAAACTGAACTACACGTGAATGTACAGACTGAACAATAACACTCATTTAATACTCCTTGTATCTAGTTGCCGGTTAGTGGAAGTATTTCTAAACTGAACTACACGTGAATGTACAGACTGAACAATAACACTCATTTAATAGTCCTTGTATCTAGTTGCCGGTCAATGGAAGTATTTCTAAACTGAACTACACGTAAATAAACAGACTGAACAATAACACTCATTTAATACTCCTTGTATCTAGTTGCCGGTTAGTAGAAGTATTTCTAAACTGAACTACACGTGAATGTACAGACTGAACAATAGCACTCATTTAATACTCCTTGTATCTAGTTGCCGGTTAGTGGAATTATTTCTAAACTGGACTACACGTGAATGTACAGACTGAACAATAACACTCATTTAATACTCCTTGTATCTGGTTGCCGGTCAATGGAAGTATTTCTAAACTGAACTACACGTGAATGTACAGACTGAACAATAACACTCATTTAATACTCCTTGTATCTGGTTGCCGGTCAGTGGAAGTATTTCTAAACTGAACTACACGTGAATGTACAGACTGAACAATAACACTCATTTAATAGTCCTTGTATCTAGTTGCCGGTTAGTGGAAGTATTTCTAAACTAAACTACACGTAAATAAACAGACTGAACAATAACACCCATTTCATACTCCATGTATCTGGTTGCCGGTTAGTGGAAGCATTTCTAAACTGAACTACACGTAAATAAACAGACTGAACAATGACACTTATTTAATACTCCTTGTATCTGGTTGTTGGTTAGTGGAAGTATTTCTAAACTGAACTACACGTGAATGTACAGACTGAACGATAATACCCATTCGATACTCTTTCTCTCTGGTTGCAAAATATTTTCACTATCTCTACGTCCATTCAAAAAGTAAAAGCTTTCATTTCGAGCAATCATTACCAAAATATCAAACAACAACCAAAACGTGAATCAATAACATATTCCACAAACACAAAACATCGCAATACATGTAATTGAATGCTGTTCTGTAATGACGGACGAAAGGCACACCTTGACTAAATTAAAATGTTATTGCAATTTTACATGAGCGTGTAATCACAAGTGTCACCTGCGATAACGCCACGATACCAACACTGGTAAGAACCAGTCTAACTGTTCAGGTGAAAGGTTACGAGATAGAGACCCTGATCTTATCCGTTAAAAAATAGAGCATTGCGTCGAATCATGGGGCATTATGAACTGAGCTTGTTTATGTGCACTTTGTCCTGTGAAGAGGAAAGGTGTCAGATCTAATTAACATGTTGTGTTTTCAGTACATCATACTATATGGTACATGACTGCTGCTGTTTATATACAGGATCACGAGTCCAACTGAATTGTGTCAGCGCATGTGTACTACGGAACCTTCTTTAGTTACTTGCCAGGGATTAAACGAGTGTGTGTGTGTGTGTGTGTGTGTGTGCATTGCATGCGCGCGCGCGATGCATGTGCGTGTGTGATGGGTAGTGGATGTATCTGGTTGCCGGTCTGAACTACACGTAAATAAACAGACTGAACAATGACACTTATTTAATACTCCTTGTATCTGGTTGTTGGTTAGTGGAAGTATTTCTAAACTGAACTACACGTGAATGTACAGACTGAACGATAATACCCATTCGATACTCTTTCTCTCTGGTTGCAAAATATTTTCACTATCTCTACGTCCATTCAAAAAGTAAAAGCTTTCATTTCGAGCAATCATTACCAAAATATCAAACAACAACCAAAACGTGAATCAATAACATATTCCAACCAAGCAATTAAAACACATATTGATTCTGTTTTAATATGTTTTTGTAATCATATCAAAAACACAAAACATCGCAATACATGTAATTGAATGCTGTTCTGTAATGACGGACGAAAGGCACACCTTGACTAAATTAAAATGTTATTGCAATTTTACATGAGCGTGTAATCACAAGTGTCACCTGCGATAACGCCACGATACCAACACTGGTAAGAACCAGTCTAACTGTTCAGGTGAAAGGTTACGAGATAGAGACCCTGATCTTATCCGTTAAAAATAGAGCATTGCGTCGAATCATGGGGCATTATGAACTGAGCTTGTTTATGTGCACTTTGTCCTGTGAAGAGGAAAGGGTGTCAGATCTAATTAACATGTTGTGTTTTTCAGTACATCATACTATATGGTACATGACTGCTGCTGTTTATACAGGATCACGAGTCCAACTGAATTGTGTCAGTGCATGTGTACTGCGGAACCTTCTTTAGTTACTTGCCAGGGATTAAACGAGTGTGTGTGTGTGTGTGTGTGTGTGTGCATGTGTGTGTGTGTGTGTGTGCGCGCGCGCGTGCGTGTGTGTGTGTGATGGGTAGTGGATGTATCTGGTGTAAGTGGGTGGGATGTATGTGGTGTGAGTGGGTTTGATGTGTGTGTGTGTGTGTTGGGCGTATGTGTGTATGTGGGTGTGTGTCACAAACAGTCACGCACGCAAGCACGCACACACGCAAGCACGCACGCATTCTCGCACGCTGCTATATGAGTGAAGTAAGCCATGGTTTTGTTACATTGAGTGGTCTTAGTGCTACGATTTGTCGTAAATATCAAGTCGGTAAAAACAGCAAGTCTCAACTATATGGATAAACATTCTGTTTGATGTAAAGAACAAAATAGCTGTAAAAAAATAACTGTGGACCACGGAGAATCAGTTCACGAAAATATGTGTTGTAGTATGAAAGTTACGATCGTGTTAACGTTAAGATTGCTTCGAGATACTGAAGCCTTGATCTGAACTTTTAAAATAAATAATAATGTGTGTACTTATATTGCCCTACTATCCACAAACAAGGCATCTGCTTGAAGCGCTAACAATTTTACTCGGTCAGTGGGTCAGGGTACGCTACAACCTAAGCTACCTGAGAGACGTTTGAAGGGTATCAGTTAACATCCCACCGGGTACCCCTTGACTGCTTGGAAAACAAAGGCAATTTTGAGATGTTGATCTGTTGGGATTTGGGATGTACATAATGTAAATAAAAGCGACAAACCCCTTGCGACATCCAAACGAAATTTCTGCTAAACGTCTGCTACAATTCCGAGTACATCATGAGCATTTGGTCATGACAATCACAATAAAAAAGCGTTGATATCAGGTGTCCGCGAAAAGGTGGGTACATTCTGACCGAGCGGCCTAAAAACATCGTGAAAGTATGGTACAAATCAAACTAGGGAATTGCATACCTGAAGCGTCAATTTACCCCACATTGTCACGATTTAATCTAGCTTTCCACGTAATAGCCTTTATGGATTATGGTCACTCGATAAGGTGGTAATTTTTATATGACTATATGCATGGAAGTGACATTTAGATCTTCGTCTGGATGTTCATCGTCTCTTACCAAGTTACCAATCTACTGGATTATATTTATTGCGTTCACTTGTATTTCACATTTGATTCCTCATTCTTCGCAATAAACACCATTTTGCCGTATCAACATCTACAGCATCAGAATAATGACAATCTATTGCGATGTCAGTCTGGCAGATTTTAGGTCGATATTATCTGACACCGACTGTATATGCGCTATACCCGATTGGTTACATGGAACCTGAATGATCCGGATTGCATAGCTGGAACGCAGATGGCATGAACGGCCCCGCCTCCATCACGTTGTTTGAGTGACATGCTTGGTGTGTATATAAGTGGAGCCAGCGCTCTTACAGCTTTCATCTGACCAACGCCTGAAGGTTCACTCGCAACAATGTCAAAGAGAGGTAAGCACAATATCCTATATGTAAATATTATAATTGTAATAGAAAAGGTGGGTGCATAAAACTTATGTGCCATACAAACGTTTCCTTAATCATACGAATTTAAAAGCATTGAACATTGTATGACTCTGACTTTATCAGAAGCATGTGTTCATTAAATCACTATCAACCAGCACTAACTCTGGTTTCCGAGTAAGCTTGGTCCCAAAGGTGATTTGAGCGCTTTAAATTGTGATATTTATCTGAGCTAATTGTGTTCATCATTCAAGACAATATTATGCTTTATACAAACAGCTTTAGGGGCCAGTGTTTTTTTATTTTTGTTCTCTGTAAGTAACTTTTAGTATATAAAATGAATAGCCACATTTACCTTAATGTTTCCAGTTCTCCAGAACTTTGATGTTTTCGGCTGTACATGTACTTCCATAACGCAGAATAATTGATGTATGCTGCTGAATAACAACATGAACCATACCACTGTGTTTGAGGTTACAGTTACTTTATCAACTGACATGAGAATGCAGTGTACCAGATTAATGTGCTATATGTTCTCATATTCAGCATATCTCATTTTTATCTCTGTCAGGTATGCTGCCGTCAAGGTTTGTCAATGAAGAATGTTTGCCGTGTGCAAACGTTTAGATAACATATCATGAACTTGCATGGGAAATTTGTTGCTTGAAGGTTTTTTGGAGCGTTTGGAGAATGGCGGCGATGTCCTCATGGCTGAAGGGTTCGTGTTCGAGTTTGAGAGAAGGGGATATCTCCGTGCCGGGCCGTTTGTTCCAGAGGTTGTTCTGGAATATCCCCACCTTGTTAAGAGTCTGAGTGAGGAGTTTGTCCACGCTGGAAGTGAAGTCGTTCTGGCGTTTACTGTAAGTTATTATTTGATTATTAAATGAGTATGATACTACACACATACTATACATATGTACATATACATATGTCATTTATCTTAAAAATAAAAAAACTTCATTACAAATATGGTAGAACATTAAAGGATTTCTCTGCTTTCCAAATTCCACTTTGCAAAACCACACTATCAAAGGTCGTAAAAGAATATTTCTGTATTAAGTTTTGCGAAGCTTCTAGCAATATTCAAGCAATATCTCGGCGGGGGACACCAGAAATTGACTTCACTCATTGTTCCTCTTTGGGGAATCGGACCCGGGTCTTCGGCGTGAGGAACTTACGCTTTAAATACTAGGCTACCCCACCGCCACCACAGAGCGGGTTCAAGGAACCATTTCTCTCGTTTTCACACTGACAAGCAATTAACATAAAATATGTTGCAATATACTAGCTGCTCGTAAGCATCATGTATATATATTTCTTATTGACTGCTGACTTCAGTACTATGGGCACCGAGAGAAGCTGAGGCTGATCGGCAAGGAGCATCTCCTGGAGAAGCTCAACAAGGAAGCCTTGAAGATTGCCAAGGAGGTTGCTGACGAGTCTGGGACACTGATGGCTGGGAATATCTGCAACACCACTAGGTATAGGAAAGACAGCCAAGAACATATTGAACAGACAGAGGCCATATTCAAGGTTTGTGGAACCTTTGTATCAAGCAGGACTGGTTGTAATTACTAAACGCGATGGTAATAATTTATTACAGTATGGTTAATGAAATAAAATTAAATCAAATAGAACTGAGTCATACTACTACTACTACTACTACTACTAATACTACTACTACTACTACTACTACTACTTTTGCAATACTACTAATAATAATAGTAAATTATACTTCCGACTTAACCGTTACGTTAACCAAAATAAATCTCTGCCAAAATCCCATCGTAGGTTTTGGCTATATTTTGATTTAAAAAATAGTTTGACTTGCACGTCATGTTTTCACTGTTATGCTATATTTCGTATGACCTCCACATGTCAGCCTTTTTATAACGGTGTCTGACGCAGTCAGTCAGGTCACCAACAGATTAATGGTCGCCTCTAACGACAACCATTGGTTGATGACGACCAACACCAGCTCAGAGTTCCAAGTGGTATAAGGAGGTACTAGCTGTTTTGTGTATCTTACTATGTGATCTTCTTATCACTACAGGAACAGATAGAGTGGGCAGTGGAGTATGATGCTGACCTTATACTTGCTGAAACTTTTGTGGAACTTGGGGAAGCCAAACTTGCTCTCGAGTGCATCCAGAAGTACGGGCAAGGTAATGCTGAAATGTGTGTGGGAATGTATCGAAGTTTTCAAGTCCTTATTAGACATGTAATAAACCTGATATATTAGTCAGGGTCTAACAATTGAGAGTGAGGGAGTATGTTTTCCAGCAATGTTCCAGAAATGCAGCAGAAATGGGCTCCTAACATTGTACCCATGTGGGGCATTGAACCCGGGTCCTCAGCGTGACGAGCGAACGCTTTAAGCACTAGCACCCCTAACAATTGAGGAAAACGATCCCGAGGGATGTGACATGTCATGCTGTTGTTCAGTTAAAGTATTGGTCATTACTAGTTGTGTGTTGAGTAACATTTAACTAAGGGTATCTGTTAAATTTCCAGTTGTGTGTTGAGTAACATTTAACTCAGGGTATCTGGTACTTTACAGGCAAACCGTCTGTTGTCAACATTAACCCTATTGCCGCCAACAAAACACTTGATGGCATACCCTACGCTGAAGCCTGCCGCCAGCTGGAAAAAGCAGGAGCCGACGTTGTTGGCTACAACTGTTGTCGGGGACCAGCCACAACCATCCCACTTCTCCGGGAGCTGAGAAAGACATGCACGGTAAATAGTCAGCGAGAGAGTGTAGCTTTATGCAGCTTTTAGAAATATTCAAGCAATATTACAGTTGGGAACACCAGAAAATGGGCTTCACACGTTTTACCCGTGTGGAGAATCGAACCCGGTCGTCGGCGTGACGATGCTTTAACCACTAGCCTACCGTACCTCCCCTGCACGGTAAATCCATACAGAACGAAGTAGGATAAGGTACATTCCCATAGCTGTAGTGACATGCACGGGAAAATGCTTTCATATGTCGATGTATATCCCTGTGTTGTTGGGAGTAGCGTAGAAGGGGTATGGGCTAGCTAGCTGATCTGAGCAGAAACAGAAACGTCAAAACTCTTTCCACATCGATGTATTCATGAACCACTATCGAATATTGATGATATCTGATTTCCACCAAAGAGGTGAGCGTATCGTGCGTGTGTGGCACCCGTCGTAAACAACAGTTACTGCAAACAAACGCACACATGGTGATTGACATCTTAATGATATTAGAGTGAGTGAGTGAGCTTTAGTCTTACGCCGCTTTTAGTGATATTCCTGCAACATCACGGCGGGGGACACCAGAAATGGGCTTTACACATGGTACCCATGTGGGGAATCGAACCCGGGTCGTGACGAGCGAGCGCTTTAACCACTAGGCTACCTCACCGCCCCTAATGATATTAGATGAGACGGAGTAGTGTGCAGTCACACCTTGTCTGGCTGGTGAACAGGTAAAATGGGAAATGTATCATCAGGCTGTGTAATTATATGTTTGTTAAAAGAAGGTAATTACTTTGAATGAATCACCAGCGACAGGTGTACCTACTGATTACTCAAATTAAATATTTTCTTGAACCAGTCCCCATCTAATATTGAAGTACATAATTTTAATAAATATTTAATGTAGAAACCGATACTCCTGACTTTGAGGAAAACAAAGGATGTTTTCGTAAAGGAATAGTCTTTGTTGTTTTGTTCAGGGGCCGATTGCAGCCTTCCCTGTCCCCTACAGAACATGTGCTGAGTTCCCTACCATGCAGTCGCTCATTGACCCCTACACAGGTAAGTGTTGTCCACTCGCCTATGTTAATGTGTCTTTCTGTATTAAATAGGGAAACCCTTCAGAAGAGAATTACTTGCTGATGCATGCCAATAAATCTGACGTAAAAACTGTTTGAACACATATAATAATCGGACACGATTTAAACTCTCCGTTTAAAATTAATTTGCGACTTCAACAAACAATGAAGTTGACAATCATGTGATTCTTTAGTTTGACACTTGATCAATCAATTAATTAGTTTCGTTACTGAAACGATTTCTGCACTTATATTTTCTTTTACAACATAAGGCACATATTTTTGTATAAACTGATCCATCTGTAAGAACCTCAGCAAATATATAGAGGATATTATATGAGTGCCCATGTCATACTATGTTTACGACACGAGTGCCTAAATGTTGGTATTTCCCAAGCGAGAGCGAGGCATATACCGATATTTAGGCACGAGTGTCGTAAACATAGTATGATATGGGCACTCATATAATATTCTGTTTATTACCGAAGTCGTCGGATTGAGGAAAATAAACCCAAATCTACTTTCAAACATAGGCTGGCTACCCGCCGTCGCCGCATGTAGAACGCAACGTCAATAGAAGAAACGTGACGTCATAGCATTGTTCATGACGTCACGTCACCATGACAAAGTGATATTTTGCCCTAGGGCACCGTATGAAAAATATGAACCCCGATATGTTCGACCTCGTAGGTAGTAAAATATAATATGTCTCGAGGGCATTCCGGTTTCCCTGGCTTTGATGGCCTCTGTATCATGCCAGTATTTTTTGTAAAATGAAAGACTCTCATTTCGCACTTATCAGATCATTTCAATTTCTGCTTGGATTGCATGTGCTTTTCGAGGTCGACCCCCCAAACCACCATACTTCTCCATCATTAAATTGATAACATGGCTGAAAGACCCGTGACTGTGCGGATTAGAACTGGTCTTCAGCAAGCCATGCTTGTCGTAAGAGGCTGTTGATCACTGGATTGTCTGGGCCAGTCTCGATTATTTACAGACCGCTGCCATATAGCTTCAATATTGTTGAGTGCGGCGTTAGACAACAAACAGAACAGAACATGACTGAAAATATACAGCAGATATAGTTTATACCAACTCACTCACTCATACATGATCCTATTTTCAGGCAAGAGGGCCTTTCCAGATCTGTCCTCACAACTCTGTGGTGTTGCGGAGGTGACGGATTTCGCCAAGGAATGCAAAGACATCGGTGTCCAGTTCGTCGGCCTCTGCTGTGGCAACACGCCAGCCATGACGAGAGCCGTCGCCGAGGTCTACGGTCGTCGTCCACCTGCCTCCATATTCACTCCAAACATGGAAAAACATTTCATCTTCGGAAAGGACAAGTACTTCTCCGACAACTTCTACCTGACCCAGCTTAGAGAAGGCATGTCGAAAACGTACTGATCGGACAAGAACTTGACTCTGTTTTAAATGCTGTGCAAAGCTGACATGTCATCCGTTGATCACGTTGTGCTATTATGTAAATATCCAAGAATTCACAAATGCATACATATATGCATTGACATATTTATTTTGTGTAGCTGGTAACGGATTTACTGTCCGTCTGGAAAGTTAATATGTGGTTTCTCAGAATTCTTAAGGTCTTCACATTGAAGCTGTAACCTTGCTTTCCTGAAGAAAGTTTGTGAGTTTTGTGAATTCGTTCCAGCTCCAAAGTTGTTTTGTTGTCATATCTAAATAAAATTGTTTCAAATCAAAACTGTTCTCGTTTCGATGTTCCTTACTTTATGTCATCCACCAACCCCAGTAGAAATTTCGCTATATTTTAACTTAAAGCGGAGAAATAATGCTACCCAGCTTATGAAAACTAGGGTGAATGATCCAAAAATAGTTGGAGATTAAGGACATAATTATTCATCTGGTGGAACGCTGGGTAAATTTCCAACCACATAATGATCAAACCGCCCGAAAGACCAAAACTCTCCATTTGTGTACACGTGAACCTTTATTGAGGTGAAAACTGACAATTCAAATCAACATGAAAGGTTGAGGATCGGACTCTCGGTGGTTCTATCCCTACTTTTCATAGCATTAACAGAATGAAACATGGACTCCTGCTCGGATTAAACTGACAGAACCTGTCGGCTCTGAGTAAGTGTTCTGTCACAGAAATGTATTCATGTATGCACGTATGTACGTACGTATGTATGCACGTATGTACGTACGTACGTATGTATGTATGTATGTATGTATGTATGTATGTATGTATGTATGTATGTATGTATGTATGTATGTATGTATGTATGTATGTATGCATGTATGTATGTATGTATATATGTGTGTATGTATGTATATATGTGTGCATGCATGCATGGATATATGTGTGTATGCATACATGTATATGTGTGTATGTATGTATGTGTGTGTGTGTGTATGTGTGTGTGTATGCATACAAGTATAGGGTGTATGTATATGTATGTGTGTGCATGCATGCATATATATGTATGTGTGTATTGCATGCATGCATGTATATATGTGTGTATGTATGTGTGCATGCATGCATGTATGTATGTATGTGTGTGTGTATGTGTGTATGTATGCCTGTATGTATGTATGTGGCTGTCATGTATGTATGTATGATTCCCCACATGGGTGTGTAATGTGTGTATGTATGTGTCCCCGCCGTGATATTGCTGGAATATTGCTAAAAGTGGTGTAAAACTAAACTCAGTGTGTCAGTCAGTGTGTGTGTGTGTCTGCAAAGCATTAAGGTAAGGTCAAGGGTCAAGGTCACAGTAATCACATTTGCAACTATTCTTGCTTGAAATTCTGTGCTTTACCTCACATCTTTCTGGGGATGGTATAAGTACATCACCATGTATTTTTATATCATAAGACACCTACATAATACAAAATACATTTGAGACAAGTAATTGTTAGGACATGTGGGATTCAGGGCGTTTCCATGGATACCATGATGCATTTTAATTGTATCACAGAAATACATTATATCATGCCTTTATGTAACTAAACATTTCTTTTCAAGAGTGTTTACGCGTATTCATGATATCCTGGCTGCTCTCTGGGTGATAAATGTGGATATCTTGTTGGTGCGTCAGTACAAGTAAGACTAGCTACATTGGCTCAGAGCTGAGCCACTATTTTATGAAACCAGATGTTGCCAACATGGAAAGCGTCAAACAATATGATTTGCGTTGGCGTCACAGGGCAACAATTGCCTTTCAATGACACTCTGTATGTGAATAAATCAAAGATAACATTTAAATTTTGCTTTATGCATGTGCTTTAGTGATGACTTGTGTAACATTCAATTCAACTGTTTACAAACAAGTTGAAGACATGGTCACATGAACATGCTGCTTAACAAAAAAAAACAGTCAAATTCATAAATTATGTAGTAAATCTTAACAACAATTCCATATCTTCTGCGGCGTAAAACCAAACTCAGTCAGTCAGTCAGTCTTACTTATTTGGGTTTGTAAACACAATTATAGGATATGCATGATCGTTTTAGAAATCAGATTCTCTGCTTTATAAAATCCGATATTGCAAAAATGAAAAATAGTGTATAGTACGATTTGAAGGGGTTAGGGAGGGAAGGAGTATTTCCATGGAAATTAATGGAGGATTTTCAAATTTCCTTTCTTTGTATGTTTTGTTGATTGTTTATATATACTCATGCTAATAATGGTTGTCACTCCCTTCAATTTTTTTAATTGGAGAGGGGTGTGGGGTGGGGTGTGTGAGGTGTGTGTGGGGTTGGGGTGGGGAGGGGTGACAACCATTATTGGCATGAGTATATCTAAACCGATTGCAAACATGCACAGAATAAATAAAAGGTAGAGGTAACATGAACACCCTTCGATTAAATGTTTTTACAGTTTTTAACATTACAATATGTTATGTACATAACATTTGATTTTTCATGTTTTGGTGATCAGTATATGTTCATGATATTGCAAGACATACAATCCAGCTTGCATATAATGGACTGACTATGATAAAACAGACATTTGTAAAGCTAAAAATTAATACCACCAGTGTTTCAGAATGAACATAGATTGCAGAGAAATCCACATTTTAACCTGTAACACTACTAGAACAAATCTGTTAAAACATTTTACTAGTTCCCGTGAACTGCATTTCAACCTCTCACAACCTACCAAGGCTCTCCATCTTGTACTTCAGAGACATTTTTCGATATTTCCACAGGCTGACCATATATATGTACACTAAACATTGCAGATCATGTGACAACCACTGGCACTTTCTTGAAGTTGAACACTGCAAAGCAGAATGAACGGATACATCGAATCTGTCATTTCGTATCTCATAACAACATGACAGGAACCGGGTTTTTTCATCATTTTGGCTCAACCCACAATTAAGATATGGCAGATTTGGCGGACTGACATGGCTATGGCACTATAAATGGTATTGACAACTATTGGCAGCCTGAAGTATTTCCAGTTGCGGAATGAAGGAAAGAACGTTTTTCGTTTGTTGTTGGAATGTAGTGTCAACACAGAAGGGACCTTATACTAGACTAATTCTGCATGCAATCTTGAAGACTGGTGGTGCAATGCTTTTGGTGTACTATTGTACTCTGTGTTTCAGTTATTACAGTAATATCTGGACACATAGGCACCACAGTGAACCATCAATGCATCATACCAGTTACTGGTGATACGTCACACCTTGGGTACAATTGGGTCTTTGTCTTCCATGGATACATGCACATTTAATGGTAAATGAAGGACGAAAAATGTCCATTCAGAGGAATCTAAGAATCTGTCCATTATGCAAAGAAGCAGTAGAAACCGAAATTCACTTCACTTTTATTTGTAAATCGTATGCTGACATTAGACAGAAATATATACCAGAGTATTATCTGTCAAAACCCCCCGATGTAGCTTTTAAATCACTATTATGTTCTTGCAATGAACAAAATATTAGAAATCTGTCATTGTTTATAAAACACTCCAGTAAGTTAAGAGATGAATTGTTGAAAAATTAGTTACAATTGACTTGTAAAATATACTTATGTATAACTCTGTAAACTGTATGTGGGCCGGAGGCCTTGAATACAATAAAATTCTTGTCATGTCTTGTCTTGAATACATGCACTCACGTCCTTACTGCATGTGATAGGCACGAAAACAGATTTCAACAAATATGTAAACTTAGCAAATTTTCAGTAATTTCTTAGTAGTTGGTCTGTCTGTTTTGGATGCAGCACCAACTATGGTATTTAAAATATATACTGGTATAATATGGGTTGTATGTTCCAGAGACAAGGTTATAACAAAAGTTGAAAGAAAGGTCTTCTTTGCAACAACCACATATATGCCAGCTTCGTTTCTCCCCTCTACTGGTGATGACTACCCATGGACATAAGGAGACGGCAATACCATGTCTTGAGTCACAGACATGTTAGTCAGCCATAATTACCACAACCAGCTGAAGATGGAAACAGATTGAAAAAACCCTTCATATTCCCATCATGTTCTTATAAAATACTGCTCCACAAGAAATGAAAGATTCGATGTATCTTTCAAGAAAGTACTAGTGGTTGTCACTGAATCTTACTGTACTTATGTTTGGTCAGCCCGTAAAATATCAACACATGTCTAGATTGTGAGAGGTTAAAATGTTGTCAACATGAACTAGTATTATGTTTTAACACAATTGTTCTTGTGTTAGTGTTTTAGATTTAAAGAGTGGATTTTAAGAGTGGTATTAGTTTTCAGCTTTACAGATATTTGTTTTATCATATTCAGTTGATTATTTGGATTATATGTCTGGGTATGATATTGCAATATGATGAACAGATCCTGATATTTAGTCATAAAGATCTGGGTTAGAATTGGACTTCAACCCATGCTTGTCGTAAGAGGCTACTAACGGGGTCGGTGGTCAGGCTAGTTGACACATGTCATCGGAACCCAATTGCGAAGATCGATGCTCATGGTGTTGATCACAGAACTAGCTTGTCCGGACACCATTATTGTCAGACCACCGTGTACAGCGTTAAACACCAAACAAACAAACAATCCTCACATCAACCATACATTTAAACTGAAATCTTATAAAGGCACACATACACACACGCACGCACGCACGCACGCACGCACGCACGCACGCACGCACGCACGCACGCACGCACACACTGTTTTTCCCAATAAAGTATTGTTTGAGATTGAGGTGAGAAATGTTTTGGTTTGTGGAAAGGGAAGGATTCGCACAAACACAACATTGAGATGCACGTGCATGATGCATGCATTCAGGCATAAATTGCATGGCAATTTGTTTTTTTCTGAACACAGCAGGTATGGCTATGTTACTGAGAGGTGTTGATGGATGAATGGACACACACACACACACGCACGCACGCACGCACGCACGCACGCACGCACGCACGCACACACACACACCACATCAGATGTGCTCCATAAAGCATGTTTATAAGAGAAGACGTAATTACGATATGTTAGAAAAGTACAATTTATTTTCTCCAGTAATGATGTGTACAATTATAGGTTGCAAAATGCAGAGAGGGAGGTACTAAAGTAATCAAAGTTTTCGTAGTTATACGTTCATGGCAAAAGTAACTTAGAGTAACAGTAATTCAAGTTTTAGGGACGATGAAGTGAGTGAGTGAGAGAGTTTAGTTTTACGCAACTCCCAGCAATATCACGGCAGGGGACACCAGAAATGGGCGTCTAACATTGTACCCAT